TCCTCATAGGAAAGCTCAGGAAGCGTGGGTTAGATGGGTAGAGAGTGAGGTAGACCAAGAACAGGTTAATAGCAGAGCTCTTAGGGTTCTGATCAGTGGTGCAGAGTCCAGCTGCAGTCTTGTTCAACTTATTCATCAGTGACCTGGATGAAGGGATAGAGTGCACCTCAACAAGACTGCCAATGATAGAGCTCTGGGAGGAGTAACTGGAGCACCAGAAGGCCTTGCTGCCATTCAGAGGGACCTGAATAATGAGATGGGTGGAGAGGAACTTCGTGAAGTTCAAGGAAGTGCAGGGGAGGAATATAGGCAGGAATAACCTCATGTGCCAGTACAGACTGGCAGCAGGGGTGGCCTGCTGGAGAACAGTTCTGCAGAGAAGGACCTGAGTGTCCTAATGGACAAGCCAAACATGAGCCAGCAACCTGCCGTCACGGCCAAGAAGACCAATGGAATGCTGGGCTGCACTAAGAGCACTGCCAGCGAGGCAAGAGAAGTGACTCTTCCCTTCTGCTTAGCCCTGGTGAGGCCACATCTGAAAGATTGTGTCGAGTCCTGGGCTCTTCAGTATAAGACCGGCATGGATCTACTGCAGAGTCCAGCACATGGCTATGAAGATGATTTGWGGACTGAAGCATCTTGCTTATGGCAAAAGGCTGAGGAAGCTGGAACTGTTTAGCCTGGGGAAGACTGAGAGGAGAATCTTTTAACTGGATGTATGTACCTTAAATGAGGGTGTCAAAATGATGGGCCCAGACTCTTTTCAGTGACACCCAGTGACTCGGTGACAGGACAAAAGGCAAAAGGCACAAACTGAAACACAGGAAGTTCCATCTGAATACCAAAATAAAATAAAATAAAAATTAATCCCTGAGGGTGACAAAGCACTTGAACAGGCTGCCCAGAAAGGTTGTGGAGTCTCCTTTGCTGGAGATATTTTAAATCCAGCAGCATGTGACCCTATGCCATGTGCTCTAGGTGACCCTGCTTGAACAGAAAGGTTTGACTAGATGATACCTAGAGGTCTCCCAACCTCAGCTGTTCTGAGAGCTTGTGATTCTCATATAGTAATTTGAGAATCCAAATATACTGTGTATGTGAGAAGAAAAATGAAATTTTTAATTAAAAATGGCCATTGAGGTACTCTAACTTGTCCCAAACATATCTCTTCCTGAGCAATGCTTTGATGGAACCTTTCAATGACAGAATCTCCATTTTTTCCAAATTGAAAACACTTCCTTTCTTATGCCCAGTAGATTGAACTGACCAAGAACTCTGTTTTACAAGATGACAAAAACACAGAATTTAAGTCCACTTATGGAGTTCCTAGTAATATCTTCCCTATAAGCATTTTAGCTCCAAGAAAGGGTAAGAAGTTATTGTCATATTTTCTTAGATAAGCCACAACTAAAGCAGCACAAAGGATGTTTTGATCCCTAGTAGGATACTAGCAGCAGCAGTTGCTTAATTCACTAGCGGTGAACTGACCTCCTCCCATTGCATCACACAGATCCAGATAAGGGATTGATGTTGTTCTAGRTGAGTCATACACTAGTGTTAAGCCTGGGTAAGAGACAGAGGAAAGCAACAGCACTGATCATCTTGGAAATTCCCTTTCTTTATAATTATCTTCACTACCCACCAAATGGATGTAGCCCATAATAATAGAGGGGGGGGGAAAGGGGGAGGGAAAGAAGGGGGAGCAAAAAAAATCCACAAAACTATCAAAATCCTCCATTGTGTATCAATCCTGATCTAGATGGTAAGAAAGACATTCAGAATTTTYTCTCCCTTCCCTCCTTTGACTTGGATATAAAATAATAATCTAATGGTGTTCAAGTCCTCAGTTGACAGCTAGAGTCTAAAGTTAATGGGTTAACTCAGGTCACTGGGAAAGCAAAACTGRCTCCTGTGAGCCAGAGTTATCCATCTGACCGAAACAGAACCAAAACAGAAAGCCTAGCACTGGCTGCTCTCGCTGGTCTGGTTGCTCCTAAAACTTGGAAGATTGTAACGTCATCAATCAACCTGACAGAAGGGCAAGAGTAATTGCCTAAATGTTGGGGTCCWTGAATTCAGGGACTTGTGAAATGCAGCTTGTAGCCTTCACTGGTTAAGGCGCCTAAAGCACGTGGCCTACATAGCCCTCAYTTAAACTGTAAGCAGTGCTGGAGGTAAGTGGAGCACAGAGGAGTATAATTGTCTGCTACACTGCAGGAAGAACCTCCTGTAAAAAAGTTAGCAGGCAGATAGCTAAGAAGAGTTATGAGACCACAGCAAGATTTTACAATCTCAGAGTAACATGAGAATCACACCCTGCCTGGAGAAATTTGTCAGACCCATCTGGGGAAGGGTCTGATGGAGTTCATAGAAGCCCAGAACCCAGTGGTTAAGCCAGCAAAAATGATTCTGGGATCTGTGAATCCCACCCAGATAGAACAGGAAGAATTGCAAATCACGATTCTGCAAAGGGACAGGTTAATGAAAGAAAGAAGAAATGCAAGGATGACTGAAACCTTGTAGATACTGTAATTTTCAAATAAATGGGCCCACAGCCTAATTAAAAGAAAATAATCACTAGTGCAAGCTTGGCTTTCTATATAAAAAAGAGGTGATAGCAGTAACTTTAAAAGTCCTTGGAGAACACAATTAAAAACTTCATTTAGAGAACACCAATGAGACTGTAGGAGAATAACACGGCAATATCTGGGTTGGGGAAAGAGGCAAAGACATGGAAAAAGAAAAAAAGGGATTGTTGCCGACAGGGGTCGGCAAGTCTCGTTCGCTAGCCGGGCTGACCCGGGGTTGTCCTCACCCCAGGGCCCTGGAGCACAGTTATCACTATGGGGGATGCGGCAAAATGGCGATTATTGCGCAGTTCAGTCTGCCTATACACCCCAGCTGAATGCAGAAACTCACCTACTGCCCAATYGGGAGACTAATTTCTACTTTTCGCCTTGTATGGCATGGGGTTATCAGTAAACTGCATAAATGAATTATGCTCCTAACTCTCGTGACATCGCGAGATCTTCCGAGCGCCATGCCCTAAGCTCTATGCCCTATGCTAAACTATATCATCTACTTTCGCTAAGCTCTCTACCTTATTAAGCCCTAAAAACACAAAAACTCCTACAAGGGATAATMCATGAGTTTTGCAACCATAAAGCTAAAGAAAGGTGAGGAGGAACAAAAACGACAAAACGTAACATGTCTGTGCCATCTCAGAGATGAAACCCACAGGCATCATCGTCATCCTCTCAGCTACCACCACTAGGAAGGTTGTGCCTCCTAGTGGCCCCCAGGTGTAGCCACAATATTACAAATAGAACCAAATACAACAATCCCATTAGTGCTGGGTGATCAGGGAAGAAAAAAMCATCATCAATTCTATCATGTTAATAGATACCGTAGCATCAATACRAAACGAGTTTTAGGTGGAACTCAAAGTAGAAAAAAATGTCATTCTTGTGCATGTAGCAAGTGCTAAAACTGCTGCCTGTTTTGTTAAACTGCTCCTCAGTTCAGGAGTGCAAAAGTCCCTTGGAAGTGGGAGCAGGAGGCTCCCTTGGGTAAACAGCAGGATATGTTTGTCACACCCTGGCTGCAACAAAAGGGGAGAGCTGCAGGTTTTGCTGTGGGCTCCGGGAGCTGGAGCTGAGCAGCGGGAGGCGAGGGTGGAGCGATTCCTGCAAGACATTGATGTTTTGTTAGCAAGAATCCGGAGGAAATAAAAACAGGAGATACTTAGGTAGCAGAATTTCCTCGAGTTTAGTGTGCCTGAAAGTTAAAAGGCAGAAAAAACAGAAAGTCTGCGTATTAATTGAAGGGCCAGACCCACCTTCCCCAAAACAATATAAACACCCACAGAAAGCAGAGGAAGGACTGACTCTCTGCCAACAGCTTACTGGAACACAGGGTCCCAATAATAAAGATAAAAAAAATCTACAATTTTACTTAATTTTGCTCTGTGTTCAAAGCGTATTAAAGTGCAGCAGTCGATTTTTTAGTGCTTAACTAAGGCGGCCACCAGCCATGCTGTCTATGATGTTAAAATACCTGAAATTCTAGTAGCACTAAGCAGATCACCACTGCCCTTTTTTTTTGGTTATTGATTTAGCCAATGATTTATCTACAGTTCCACTAACAGAGAAAAGCTGGCAAAAATATGCATTTACCTACAATTACTTTAACAAAGTACTTAAAGATCACCATTATGCTCTTGCCATCTGCCACTAATGCATCAAGTGGCAGTGAAATTACCACCAAGAAAGTGCTGGGTCATATCAAACATGGACAATGGGCTGGTACATAGGAATACAGAAGAAACAGTATAATCTGAATGGAAATATTTGGGAATGCTAATAGGTTAGGAAGAGCAACACTGGGACCACTGAAGGGTAGAAGTTCACTTGCATGCACTTCTGGAATCGCTTCAGTCCTTGTGAGACTATCCTCACATTTGCAAGAATCAGTAAATCATCAGTGAAGTTAGTGAAGAAATCTCCCTAGTAGGAATGGGAAGAACAGAAAGAAGTCTTGGCAAAATGAAAACTTCCCAAGCTCAGACCCCGACACATCCAGATTCTTACAAACTGCTTCACATTCACTGGCCACTGGCATCCAGCCCTCAGCACTGCCCAGAGCACGGAAAGAAGCAGCAAGCTACAGCCTTTCCTTTGAGAATCCCTAGCTCGATGCCACAGAGCTCCACAGACAAAATGTGTGACATCGGCATAGGTCCCTGAGGATAGGGAGCAACGTACCAGAGGTTGCTCTGCTACTGCACAGATCATAAACTGCTCTACTGAAGTTGATTATCAGTCAAAAAAAAAAAAACCCAAATTGAGTACATAACAAGACCTAAGTTTGCCAGATGGATATTGGCTTCTATAAACYACAGAGTTTCTGTGGAAAGACAAGACTTTATCACCAGCTCTACACGGCTTGTTAGCTGCTACAAATGAAGGCAAGTGCCCTTCACCCATTTTTGAGCCCCATACCTGACAAGTGCGTTCGGATAAAAGCTGTGCTGCTGACTYCGGCGCCGCAGGATACTCGCTGTGTTTCACAGATGGGTCCAGTTATTACGCAAAAGATGGGAAGCCCTGGAATAGGCGTGCTGCAACAAGCAGGAGCTATAAAAGGAGCAGCGCTCCACTTACAGCATTAAGAGGAACTCAGAGGAAGTGATGTGGATTTGCAGTCATTGCAGACCGCATCTGCCGGCTTTTAACTGTTTGGCTGCCAGTTTGGACCTGCAAGGACTGGACTGAAATCCCCTCGCAGTGGGAGGAAATCCTGAACACGGACAAAAATGCAGAAGAAGAAAAAAGTGCAGGTCATGTAAAAATACAGTAGAAGAAAATATACTGAAGCAGCAGCCTACTGGAACAGCAAAGCAGATGCCCTGCAAAGGCTGGGATACATCCAGCAGACTTAAAATTTGAAAAAAAGCTCCCATTTCTAAAACAAAATAAGGGAAACAATACAAAACAATGCATCAGAGATCTAGTTACTTTATAATGTAGGACGAGAAAAATAGAGGTGATTATTAAAGAAGATAAGTGGGTGAAGAATAGGGAAGGRCAAAAATAATAGTATGGCCAGACCACAAAGACACTTGTCCATTCGCAGATGGATAGCACTAAATCCACTCCAAGCAAGTGCATTTCAGTATGTGCATGAACAAGATCATCTACGAGTTGCTTGAATACAAAAGGGACAAAAACGAACAGGGCTGGCTGGCCTAGCATGAGGATGATTATGTAACTGCTTAATTGGTGCTATAATAAACACTGTCATTAGGGGGGGAAAAAAAAAGTACCATTAAAACATTAGAGAAGTCAAGGAATAGAACATAGCATGCAGACTGCACTAGACCATTACAAACATACGTAGGGGGATTAAGTATTGTTTGCTAGTACAAAATCCATTTACAAACAGRTTAAAGAAGCTTCAGTCAAGATATCTAGCAAAGATAGAAAAATCTACCATAGCACATATGTTTAACATGGAATTTTTTAAATGCAAATAAATATATATAGATCAAGGGACACATTTTGTAGGACCAATCATGATAGAATTATGCAGAGGTCAATGGATAAAACAAAAAGTTSTGCACTGCTGGGAATCCCCAAAATTCAAGGCAAGCTGCATGAACCAAATGGAATATAAAAATAGCATTACACACAATARTGAAAAAATTACAGAGAAGTTTGGGATATCACATTAAAACGACAAGCAATGAGCCACAAAGCTGCTCATCARCTCAGTTTAGAGCCAGGAATTAGGTGAGGGGAAGGGGGGAAAACAGGGAGCGAGATATCACAGCCTGATGCCTCCATTCGGGAATGGACACAGACCCCAAGGAAACAGTCGGAGGGGATTAGCGTTGCTATAGCAACTCACCTGAGCAGGGCTGTTCCATGCATGGGTAAACACAGAGGGACCAACAGTTCCCCTGCAGAATGCCAAGCAGGGCGTATTTTCCGTGCAGGGATTACAACCTAGGCTSTAAATGGGATGCAATGGACCAGCTCGTATTATAAAAAAAAAACGCAGGATCATAGGCCTATCAAGTAAAACTCTAAAATGGAAAAAAAAAATGCCAAAGTATTCCCAATTTAAATGAAAATCATGGAAAAGTAAATAAGATAAAAAGGAATGTTGTGTCCCTGATAGAGCAGGGGGGTTGGACTAGATGATCTCGAGAGGTCCCTTCCAACCTCAACTATTCTGTGATAATGTGTATGTTACAGATGCTGGGCTATTAAAAATTATAGTTAAAATGTGAGATGTCATCAGAATCACCATCAGGAAGGCTGGTAAAAGAAGCAGCATTAATTGATTGCTAGGCTTTGAATGTAGCTTTTAGGCTTGTATTTACATAGTTACACTAGGTCCAAAATTGTGAATATCTGCATATGTTACAAGGAATCAGCATTTCTGCCGATAACAGGCCCAGTATCTAGCAGCAGTGAAAACGTCTTTTGCCTGGGATAATACACAAATGTAAGATAGAAGCCTCCACTCCAAAATCATGGGAGACAACCATGAAGGATCTGTGGTGGCTGTGCTCCATGAGACCAAGTATAATTGATAATAATTGATTTTGTAATTTATAATTGATTTTAAGGGAGGTGATGGTTAGATATGAGATCCACTTGGATACTTTGTTCAACTTAGCGCACACACACATCACAGCATATAATAGCTAATAGGAAAAAAAGACAGAACTTTATTCACCCAAACTTCAACAATGTTATACAGGAATCAAAATAAGCGTAGAAGTTCCAAAAATGCCTTGTTTTGTAGAGAGAAGTGGCACTGGGAAGTGATATTAACATTGTTTGCTGACACAACTTTTCATCATGTAAACTACTAACAGCACTGAGCAAGTCACCAACACACCCCATGCCTCAGCAATGTGACCGTGTCCTTTGGGAAGGGAGTCTGAAGAACCCTCCCAACAGCAGCAGAATCCTCCTCCTGTAGGAACAGTAACCGTCTTCATGAGGAGCCAAGCAGCAGTGGGTGATTTTAGGACCTGTGATGCCAGGAACTGATACATGTCGCTGTTTCTCCATACCTACTGTGGCAGCAATTGCCAGAAAACTGAGCTGTCTGTTTAAACAAAGTTGTTTGATGTTTCCTGGGTAATTAGTGTAAAGACAATGTTCACACACCATATGAACTACAGTTCAACCAGAATTCAAACATCTAGAAAAACATCGACCTCAAACTAATTTGGCATTATTATATTAAAGAATCACAGTAAATACAATAAAGAGCTAAATAATTAATGAATAGGCACCAAGCAGGGAAATGTCATATTACCTTAGAGAATCAATAGCTTCTAAGGTCAGGAAAGGATGCAGAAATTGTGCCTCACAGTGCCATAATATTTCAGAAGACTGAAAAGTACAGGTAGAAGAATCACATGTGTTATCACAAACATTAATCTTATCTGTGTAATAGCTGGTTGCCTTTTAGTTACAGCTTGTGGCATGTACTGACACAGGTGACAAAAGATCTGGGAGTTGTTTCAATTGCAGGAGACCCACATGCACTTTGCAAAGAAACCACAAAGCAAGACTGGAGCATGATTCCAGCTATCCCCCTTCCAAGGGGAATCACAGCTAGGACAAAAGCCTTCAACCTGTAGGATATATTTTATATTTACTTGGTTTGAGCCCTGACATAAGCATATTAACCAGCAAAACCAGAAATAGTACAAAAGCATTCATAGGTATATAAACAATATGGAWCGTCAAGTGGACCAAGGCTTCTGCTACAGATGAACACAGGTGACATAGAAAGACATCTACAAGTAGTAAAGTGTGCAAAACAAGGACAATGAATGCCAAATAAGCTGAAAAGATGCCTGGCAAAACAAGAATAAGTTCTAATATTTAAAATAAGTTATGTTGGTAGCAGGTAAGATCTTCCTGTATTTTGATGGGAGAGGGGTTAAGAGCATGAACACCAGCATAGATGAGCAAGGGGATGTGAGAAAAAAAACAATAAATAGAAACAAAACACACACAACTTGTCATGCACTTCAGTTCCATCCTTCTTGAAGAGGTCTCAAGCCTGATCCTATCRGCCACAGGTTCTTAGACCTTCAAGGACCACAGCTATTAACACAGCCTCCACATATTTTGTGATAAGATATACTGCTCCTAGATTAATAGAATGATAGACTCATAGAATCCTTAAGGTTGGAAGGGGCCTCCAGAGGTCAACTAGCGTGTCACACACCAGGTCACCTRGAGTATGTGGCACAGGACTGCRTCCAAGCGGGTTTTAAAGATCTCTAGAGAAGGAGACTCCACAACCTCTCTGGGCAGCCTGTTCCAGTGCTCTGTCATCTTGTTAAGAATTTTTTCCTTAAGTTCCTGTAGAATGTTTGGTGCTTCAGTTTGTGGCTGTTTCCTCTAGTTCTGTTGGTGGCCACCACTGAAATGAGGCCAGCCCCATGCTCCTCACTCCCTCCACTGAGGTATTTATGAATAGAAGGAGGTATACATTGAGGCATTGAGGTTTGAGTTGGACATGTGCAAAGAAAAACAGGCTTTAATTTATGTTATTACTTACTATCTGGTAAAATGAGGCCACCATGTGGCAATTTAAATATTTAAACCCACAAAGAAGTGTAATGTACTTAAATCAGCGTATTGTTTGGTTCTTTTGCTTATTCTTTTTGCATATTTGCATATTTGCAGATAATTTTGAAATTATCTGATTAATTTCAGGGTGGACAAAAGTAAGGTTTCATGTGTAGCATAGTTTTCAAGAATTGTCTTCCAGTCATGACATTTGAGTGTTTAAATATTACTTTCCTACTCATTTTAGGAAAGCAACCTAAAACTTTAAAGAGTTTTAAAAGCTGCAGATTGAACATTGTGTAGCCCTACCCTATGTCATATGTTCTGTATTTCAATATCCAAAACAAAGACTATTTTTCTCTTGGCCAAATCTACTGTGCTGACATCATTCTGCAGAGTGCAGCTCTTATTCTTTTTCTGTTCATGACTTCCACTAAAATAAGATCTCAAAGGAGTATGGTACTCACAGAATGGATGGAARGAAATCACCAGATCCTTTATTGAAGGACTGTCCATAGCTGGTCAGCACCCAGCCTGTACCAGTGCACAGTGTTACTCAATGCCTGGCCCAAGTTCCCCATGGCCAGTGATMTTGAGACTTCATCTACTTTTTCTCAGTCAGGCAGATGTAGGAGAACCCACCTTAACATCGTTCTTGTTCATATCTCCTCTTCATAATCTTCAGCAAAGCTTTCAAACAGCTTTTCCTCTGCCCCAGGGGAAAGCTTTATGCCATCAAATTGTTTATTTGCAGAGATCTCCTCACCTTTAGCATTCCATACCTCATGGGTCCATACTCATCCATCACAACACTCTTGTCATACAAGTTTTTCCATCTTGTTTCTGTGCTCTCCACGAGATCACAGTTCTACAGCTTGTGCAGAGACTTCTGAGTGTCCCTGGTTCTTGCTGTGTGCACTCATAGCGGATACTTAGGATCCCACACTGTTTTCTAGGGAACATCTGGGAGCCTTCTCCATCTGTCAGCTCCCACTGAGCTAACTAGGTTCTTTGCCAAAAAAATACTCTCACAAGATGGTACACAATAAAAAAGCTTAATTTAATTATGCTTGCAACATGATTGATTATAGAAATATACCAATTTAAGATATTTTGATGTTCTTCTGTGTCTCTATACTCCAGGTCYGCAGCTATATGCGGACAAGGGCCAGTTCAGATTGGTCACATTCTTCAAACTTTGAGGTGTATTTTGTATTACTATGTTTAAACACACAAATGCTAGACTAAGCCAAGCCTACACACTCGAGTTCATCTGTTAGCTGCAACATTAGTGCCTGTGCACTCACAAAAACTCGTCATGACAAAGTACCCATTCAAGAGTGCAGATATGTCAACATGATTGATTCATCCAACTGCACAGAAAGTGCTCTCCAGATCTCTAGTGCTCCCACGCATGCCGATATTTGGGAGAGCAGCGCATCTCCTCTCCTCGCAGCCGTTCACACACTGAGTCGCTGTGCTGCRTCACACTATCGCACTAGCCACACACAGGACACTTCCTCTCAGCCTCATTTTTCACTTCTCTTTGAGCTTTGACCAAAGCTCGACTGAATCCACCTGCATCCACACTCCTCCGCCAAGGAGGTTGGAAAGCAAGGCGGGGTCCGTTAGGAACATCATGCTCAACGGGAGGGTCTCCATGGCATTCTGCTCACCTCATCCACCACACAGGCCAGGGAACCTCGTTAAATCAGTGTCCGTTTACAACTGAGCTTGCTGAGTCACTGCATGACCTCAATAAAACATATTGCAGCTTCTCTCTTCTTCACTCCTCACTCACCCACTCTTCCCAAAACCTCACTACCAAATTATCAATGATAATTTTATCAAGCGGATAGTCAAAGTTGACAGACAGGGAGGAACTTAACATGAGACTTACCACAGTAAATTTTCTAATGATTTTACTGTGCTTTCTTAACTCTAAGGAAACTGATTATAGCCAAGTTTTGTTGGTTTTTTTTTTTTTAATTTGTTTGAAGTTTTCCTGTAACCTTTTTACAGGTCCTACTTTGGTAAGGCAATGGGAGGAAGCATGGTATGTGAAAGAAAGCAATGACCTTTGAGCAACCTCATTTGCGTGAGAAACAGAACCTATCAGTGTTGAAACCTAAAGCTTCCCCTCAAAGATTTTAGATGAAAACAGGCTTATCTATTTCAAGTGTGAAAGACTTCTGAAAACGGAATARAGGGGAAGTGGTTTTGATATTTATATATAGAAAAGGCTGGGATTTTTTTGCTAGTCTGTTGGTAGATATCCGGTGAGTCTGCTTTCTTCTCAGTTCAGTAGCATCAAACGTTGCAATTCCTTCCTCTGCAGGGAGGAACATCTTAGATTTTAGCCTAAGCTCCAAAAGACATAAGCCAAGAGAATTGTCTGATAGAAACTATGTAGATGACAATCTCAGCAAAGACTCTGAGAAGCAAAAAGAAACCTGAGGGCCAGTTCTGCATTTTGGGAGAGAAAATACAAACCAAAGCATCAAGTCCAGTATTCATCATTTCCTTCAATTGTCTAAAAGCAAATAAGTAAAGACCAGTAACAATCCTACACTTTCAAAGCAAAAGAAAGCATCTCCTCCTCCAGTTCCCCACCTTGCCCCCCACTCCCTATATACTGTTTCTAAAGAGGGGAGGGAAGGGAAGACAGGCAAGAAACTGCTATGAACTACCGAACTACCTCAGTGAATTTGAATTATAGAGTGTTGGTTGAGAAAATCCATCCAAGGAAAGTAGCATTGCCTTTGGGGAAAGAAGGAAACTCTACCTACCATTTTAAGTAGACCTGAACAAAAGTTAGTCTAAGCTAATTTGAGTAGGTGTTGGGGGGGGGGGGGATACAGGAAGTCAGATCAAGTTTACGAAGATCCTTTAGTGATTAAACAGGAAACTTTCAAATCTCAGAACATGAACCTGTGCTGTGACCTTTCATTCTTACTGCATGCAAATAYAGCTATTTTCTTGAGCAGAAGGGGAGTTCAGCAGAGCAGCACGTTGATCCGTACAGCTTCACATCTCTAGGCAACTGCTCATGCAGGTGTCCTCCTTTACACCCCACATGAGGGGCTCGCTTGGAGCCTTTCCTTGGAAGGGTTGCCTCATCCAGCTTTCCATGTTCCATCTGCAGCCCATCCTGTTTATCCCACACAACTGAGCACATAAACAGAGCTGCTCCCAGAGCTCTTCTGAGCAGACATTTTAGTTTAGCGTAGTGACAAATGCCCATGCTTTGGCCCCAAAGCCTATTCTCAAAAATTTGCACAGATGTAGGTGGCAGCCTTTGCAGGTCCCCCAAAGCCACGAGCAGCTCAGCACCACACAGCCAAGCCCAGCAGCACAGAAATCACAGAGCCATCAAGGTTGGGAAGAACCCTCAAGACCACCATGTGCAACCACAAGCCCTTCAACAGCATCCCTGCGAACCCATGTCCCTAAGCGCCTCATCTAGACGTTTCCCAAGCCCTGCCAGGGACGGTGACTCCATCACTTTCCCGGGCAGCCTGTTCCGGCGCCTCGCCGCTCTTCCCATGCACAAGCTTCACGCCGCAGGCTGGCGGGACCGCAGCAGGGAGCTGCGGAAGCCCCGCGCGCTGGAAAAGGCAGATAACGAAGCAGAGATAAGATAACAGCGAAGCGCACAGAGCGCTTAGGGGCTCCCTGGGGGATGCTGCCCCCCAGAGAGGCGAGGGAAGGAGAGACTCGGAGATGCGCGGGGACCTCCGCGCCGCTCGCGCCTCACCTCCCGCGGCGCCGCCCGTTGCGTCCAGCCCTCCCGCCGCCGTTGTTACCGTTAGCGGCGGCCGCCGTTACCGTTAGCGGCGCGCGCCGCTTTGAAGCGGCCCCGCTCAGCGGCGCCGCTGCCGCCCGCCCTCCCGCCCGCGCGCGCCCATTGGCCGC